CACACACACACACACACACACACACACACACACACACTCTAGGTAATCCCAAACTCAGCCGCCAAGATTTTCCTTCACAGAAGTAAACTCACTCAGCTTGTTTGCAGCCAACTGATTGTCAACTTAACCAAATAAACGCAGAGGTCTGGTACATTTCAGTTTGAAGATTCCACTGAACGCACTGAAATCCAACTGCTTGATAAATAAACTCAAACGTTACCAAGCCCTTGAGGCCTACAGTCAGCTGAAGTGACGGCTAAATTACAAAGCCGGTACAATACTCGTTTGGGTTTCAACCATGAACCTTCATGTAGGTCTGATGTTAAATCAATAATGTGATGTGTAATATTTACTCACCCTTGGTATCTCTAGTAAAAATATGAGGGTATTAACTTGCAACTTCCTTCACTTTAAACATAAAACTTCCTTGTTGAGTCTGCTGCACGTTTGGCGGCAGTGGAGAACTGTACTTGTGACATGCACCGAAGCTTGAGATGGGGGGGTCATTCTTAAAATAAGAAGAATGATAGTTGTTCTAGGAATAGGCAGAAAGAAAATAGACACGTGTTGCACAATAGTAAATGGCACTCTCTGGAAAGCAAGGCTGAAGTCGCTAGACCTCTGGTCTGGGACGTCTGTTGGGAAACAGTGGAGAGGCTGGTTTGGTTTTTGCCCTCCCTGATGATTTGTTCAGCTTGTTGCTGAGCACAACGTGGCTACTTCGGTCCTTTTTAGTAGGAAGTTTTGCATCCCAACAGCAATGACAAAGCAATTAACCGACACCAAAAAGGTTTGCCATCAAATAAAGTAGGTAGATGAAGAGCTCGTGACTGTCGACAAAAGCTTCACGGTCTCATTGTCATGTTTCGTAGAACTATAAAAAAGTACTTGTTTTTCCTGTTTTGTGTACACTGTGTTCAAACTGCAGCCAATTAAAGTTCATAAACTTTTTCACAACTATTTTCAGAGTTTCTGACACTATCACAATGTCTTTATTAAACGTGTTACCTTTCAAAACAAAAATATTTTGCGACGGATGTGACTTGAACTTTGATGCTCGGAAATCGGTACGGTGTATTTTCATTTGACAACTAACAACAACTTTTCTATGTCCTGATGCATCTCAGTAATCCAGGTAAAAAAATCAAAAGGAAAAAAATTGTATAGGTCTTCTGGACGGGTTTTTCTCTAATGAAACGTTTCGTCTCTCTTCCAAGAGACTTCTTCAATCTGAGAGTTTCAGGCAAAATTCAGGCTTTTGAGTCCTGCCTCCATGTGACTGATACTTGCGACTGAAGAAGTCTCTTGGAAGAGAGATGAAACGTTTCATTAAAGAAGAACCCGTCCAGAGGACCTATACAATTTTTTTTCCTTTTAACAACTTTTCTACTTCGTGAATTAAAAAAAAAACGTTTTTTGTGCTGAAGATTTGACAACAACAATAAAGCAAAGATACCAATTGGGTTTCACGAATCACACAACTTCACACGAGTCAAAACAAAGGAGGCTGACACAACCTTCAGGCTGAGCAGGGGGTGGGGTAGGGGGGACTCTAACCCCCACGCTGTGAAACACAGACAAACACACACAAACACACACTTAATGGGGACCAGTTGGTTGAACCCAAACAAATCTTTGACCTTGCTTTCAGCTGAATTCATCTTTTAAAGCCGTGAGTTGTAACTGCAGGTTTTTTTTTCTTTGTTTTTTTAACGTTTAAACCTGTTACCGCAGCAATAAATATTATTTTCTGGGTTCTTTTAAGGGAAACTTATCATATTTGTTGGTACTTTATCACACTCTATTTGTGCTTACTGTTTTGTACAGACAGCTTATCTGCTTGTGAGTCACTCCTGACAAACATGTATGAAGTTTTCTCAGCTCAAGAGGAAATGAGGTTTTGTCTGCAGTTTTTTTTTTTTCCAGTCTCACTCCCAGGAGTGCAGCCAGTTTAAGGTCGTAGGTGTAAAGTTTGAGAAAAATCCTTTTTTTCTGTCTCTCTCGACACGTTGCCGAGATAGCTGGAGAAAACTGTGTTTGTGTGTGTGTGAGGGAGATGGTTAGATATTCCCATGGCTCTGCTCTGCAGTGGAATTTTTCACACATCTGCCTTGTACCTTTGAAAACATCAGCTCCTCCTCGTCTGTCTCACAGCGTTAGGCTGTCTCCAGAGCTGTCTGTCCTAACCATATGTTCAGTCTTCCTGCTTTCTGCCTGCGGTTCTTCAGTTTGGCCTTGCGCTTTCTTGCAGGCGTTAACCTGCACACATATGTATTTGCTTTTTCTTGTAGCTCCCGGTTTTCCTTTGYGTAGCTGTGAAACTTCTCTCTTGTTCATTCTTTGTTACAAAAAACCTTCTCCTCCATCAATTGTCTGAGAAAAACTTAGAGAAAAAAACAAAGCAAAAATTAACACAAAAAACTTATTTTCTTCTAATACAACACACAAATGGGCACAAACCAAACCAAACAAAGGCAGCTGCAGACAAGAAAAGAAGATGAGCAATATATATGTGATAAATGTAGATTAGTAGCAGAGGTTAGCAGAGTAATACTGTAAAAGTTTTATACGTAAGAAGGAATAAGTTGCCATGAGGTAATCAGAGTYGCATATTAACTAAGTACAAATGCTTTGTTACTGTACTTAAGTAGAAATTTTGGTTATTTGTACTTTACTTGAGTAATTATTTTTCAACGTACTTTTTACTTTTACTCATTATATTTTTACACAATTATCTATACTTTCTACTCACTACGTTTTTAAAAAAGGTAAGAAGTAAAAAGTTGTTACTCCTATTTTATTCGGAGTTGTTATTACTTTAAAATACTATCCTGATAAATTGTGTCTCCTGGATAGAGTGAATTTAAATGTGGTTGGATGAGAAGAATAATATTCTGACACGCTATTAGCTTGTACACAACCCATCACAGCTGCACGCCGTTAAAAAAAATTTTTTTTTGGAGAAGTCACCTGCCAATAAATGTCATTTAGGAAAATCTAACTGCTCACTTTTACTCAGTACTTTTACTTTTAATACTTAAGAAGATTTTGTGTCAGAAATTTACTTTTGATACTTAAGTACAAAAAAATATCAGACACTTTAAGACTTTTACTCAAGTAATATTTTTAGAGAACACTTTAACTTTTACCAAAGTATTTTATGATAAAATACTTGTACTTTTACTGAAGTATCACTTTGAGGTACTTTATACAACACTGGAGGTAAATTATTGCAGTGGGAACACTACAAGGAAGAGGCAACAACAAAAAAATGTTTCTTTTTATCTTAAGTAAAATACCTTCTTCTACCTAAACATTTTTATATCACACTGTCGCACTGCCAAAACATTAGATCCCAAAAAAAGTATTCAGAAATTGGTAAAACTTCCTTTTCCTCTCATGTGCCATATTTTTTGAAAACAACTCCATCAGATTCCGACACTTCCCCTTATTTACATCTTTAAGGACTAATCAAAACTGATTAACTGWATTTAAACATACACCCATCCATCATCTTAACACACTTCTTCCTTTCAGGGTCATGGGGGTCATTGGTAAGCTTTCCCAGCAGTCACCGTGCGAGGGGTGGGGTACTCACTGGACAGGTCGCAAGTCCATCACAGGGACACATGGAGACAAGCAAACATTCACTCTCTCACTCACACCTAGGGACAGTTTAGAGTTACCAATTAGTTACCAGTTGGTCTGTGGGAGACGGAGTACCCAGAGAGAACATGCAAACTCTTCACAGAAAGGGCTGGGATTCGACTCCGCAACCTTCTTGCTGAGTGTGCCGCCTGTACCGAAACATATAGAAATCGATCATATGATTTACAGCAGCTATTATTCTTTTATGTTATTACATTTATGCATATTTTTTTTCTTTTAGAAATGTCATGATACCTCATCAACTCTTTGAAAAGTATTGTTCTCTTCAAATCTGCTTCATTTATTATATATATTTTTTTGCATTTTACTACCTGTTTAGGACTTACTTTTTAGCTACTGTTTGCTACTCCTAGATTTTTAACTAAAATGTTGCTACTTTTAGCTGAACTTTTGATACTTGCAGTTTCTAACTACTCTTTTGCAACTTTTAGCTCCTTTATCGCTTTCTGATAGTCTCGAGTCCTCTCTGCTACTTTCGGCTTACAGGTGGACTTTTGCTACTTTTAGCTAGCATTTTTTAACTTAAGCTTTTAACCAGCATTTTGCTACTTTTAGCTCCCAGTTTGCCTTATGCTATAACTTCAGCTTATGGTTCTTTCTTTTAGCAATCATTTTGCTACTTTTAGCTGAACTTTTGATTCTTGCCGTTTCAAACTACCCTTTTGCAACTTTTAGCTCCTATATCGCTTTCTGATAGTCTCGAGTCCTCTGTGATACTTTCGGCTTACATACGTTTGCTACTTTTAGCTACTAGTTTGCCTTTTGCTATAAATTCAGGTTATGGTTCTTTCTTTTAGCAATCCTTTTGCTACTTTTAGCTGTATTATGTCACTTGTAATTTTAAGTATCATTTTTGCAATTTTCAGTTAGTGGTGTTTCTTTTATATATTTCAGCTAGTGTGCTGTTCTTATTAGCTGTAACAGTTCAGTTTTAGCGTCAGAAAATGTCAGCTGTTAGGCATGTGCATGATGGCCTACCTGCACTCAGAACTTCTGAACGTTATTCAGTGTTTGTTTGTTTATTTATTTATTTATTTATTTATTTATTTATTTATTTATTTATTTATTTATTTACTTACTTATTCCCCCACTCACACAACGACACTGAATAAATAGTTGACTTGCAGATTTAAAAGTCTGCAGTAATCCATGTATCAGTAAAAAACTTGTTGAGTCTGATGGAGTTCATAGGCTGCAGCTTCCTGGAGAAGTGGGCGGGGCCTAAAGTCGCTGGTAGGTTTTAAAATCCACACGTGGTCTCCGTCTTGGGCTTGTTTAGCAACGCGGTTCGGAGAACCAGAAACTTCTTACTAACCCATGCCAGCGTATCGCTGCAGGGGTGGACGGGATCGGACAGAGATTCTGGATAAATCAGCGAAGAAGAAAGAAGACTAATAATAAAAAAAGATGCCATCTCATCCCTTCAACCAGTGTTCCGACTTAGAAGAGATGATGTGCAAGGTAAAAACAACATCCTCTCCGGTGGGGGGAAAAAAAAAGCGCAAAAGAAAGTTTGAGCGGAGCAGAAAAAGTCAGGAGGGAGGAGGTTGGGGGTGGGAACGTTAGCCTCTTAGCTATGAACTCCGAGAAGAGTTTGCTCTCTCAACACTTTTTTCGTCTCGTATGATGTGTAATGTTGTTTTGCGATGCTTAAATCTCTGTTGTGACTGTTTTTCCACAAGCTAACCTGAAGCTAAAGCTAATTAGCTTCAAAGTGGGAAGTCAGTGTTGTAGCGGCTGTTGCACAGTTCTCAACATGGGCCTAACAAACTTATTTAACAACAAGCTGCTGTACTGTCGCCAGATCGCTACCGTAGTAAAAATATTTATTCGGTGCCACTTGTGGGATTTAGTTGCAATTAAAGTTGTTGAATAAATGCATGCAAGGCCGAGAAGTTGAATCAAAACAGCTAGCTGTGCTTGTGAAGTTGTCCTGCAGCTGCAGTGTAGCACTGGGAGCTGGTTTTAAAGGCTGAAATAGGAGCAACAGGCTAACAGAAGTGTTTATGCTCAGATACGAAGCCTCTGCTAATCATCCTAAACTCCTGGCTCAGAAAAGTAGTTTCTAGTTTAATGAAAAGCAGGAAAAAAAAAACATGTAATGTTTTTTTTTTTTCCACTGGGTGCATTTTTAAAAAACAAAGTTGAGTTGGAAACAAAATATTGCTGGTCTAGTGTTTCTTAAAGGCATGCACACCACCCACTGACTTTCATGCCACAGTTTGACTAAATGATAATTATAGTTGTTTTGGTAACACTTTTTATTTAAAATAATCGTATGCGATACTCCGACATCCTATTCTTGGAGTATGTGTCGTGAATGCCTCTCAGCTACTACCAAAACAAATTTTAGATMAGAATATGTAAAATTGGCTGATTTATATCCATTTTTGTGTTTAATATTGATCAGCTGGGGCAGCCATCTTGAATTGGACTAGTTCCAAAACTTTATCTTGTGTAGAAGTGAATCCAATAATTACTCCCTGAAAGTTTCATTAATATCCTTTCAGTGATTCATATGATATTTTGCTAACAGACAGTTTATACCCAGTGGTTGAGGGCAAAATTCTAAACAAAGAAAAGTGCAATCTGTTATCACTCAGGTAATGTTTTTGGGATCATCCTTAGACACAACCACAGCAAATCTTAGGTCAACACCTGTAAAATTACCTGAGTTGGAGCCATTTTTGTGTTTTTAAAATAAAATTAGCTGTGGCAGCCATCTTGAAAAGGATGAACTCTGAAAGTTAATCAGTTGTAGATGTATGTCGAGTGATGGCTTTCAACAAGTTTTATTAAAATCTATTTAGTGGTTCATGAGATATTTTGCTAACAGACATGCAGACACAGGCAAAAGCATTATTGCTGGTGATGGGAGATTTTAAAAAGGGTTWCTTCTGCTATATTGCAAACCTAAAGACCATATTGTTATGTTGTTAAAACTTTTTTTTAATTGATGAAAAAAAGACAAGTTTAATTTTAAACTATCGTTTGGATTTAACCTGCAGGATGCTTAACATCTTTCACTGTGGGCCCAGCAGGATATGTTTTCCACCTTCCCCCTTTATTAAATAGATCTGCAGTGCCAGGTCAGTTTAAGTTTATTTATTTATGTAGCATGTTTAATAAGAACCGTCATCCAAAGTGCTGCATATAAAATAAGGAAACAACAAGACAATGAAATCTAAACAAATAAAAAGCATTAAAATAATGGAAGAGCCTGGACCTTGGGACAACTGAAAACAAATAGGTGTTTTTATATCTCAGGGATCTGAGGTCAGAGTTGGTTAAACTTCAAACAGCTCTATAAACCGGTTTTCCTTAACCGTAGCTGTAACGTCAATACGTCGTTTTAAAATTCCCAATGCGCTGTTTGGACCTCTTCACATTGTGGTTTGAAATTGGARCAGAAAGTCACTTTATCTTCACAGATAAACATTTTCTTTGCAAACCGGTGTCCCGATATCTCCAGTCTGTGTTTTTACACTCTGGGGCAAACAACAACAAGGACAGCAGCAGCCTGTTATTCGATGCTGGTAGCAGTGCTGTTAGGTCATTTAGAAACACAGTTGCAAACTGCTTAGAGCTGGGAGCTGCTTCAGTAAATTAAACAGAATGATGTGGTTCTAAAGCAGCTCTGGAGCCAGATTGCCTCTTTCAATGCAGAGCTGAGTTCCTGGGATTGAATGGTTTCATTGATTTGTGTGAATGAGCAAAGGCGGCTAACTAGAATCACAACAAGTTTATCCAAAGTGTTTTAATTTTTTTTAAAAAACTGATGTGAGGATTGTCGAATATTTATCTGAAATGTGTTCTCYCTTTTGGTTTTCTCTCAGCATTTACTGAGTCTTGACATCAGAGAGCAGAACAGAGCGGCTTCATCTCTCGGCCTGGCCATGAGGAGCCCAGGTTTTGTGGGCGAGCCGTGCAGAAGCGCCTCGTTCTCTCTGTCCTGCCTTCCAGCCGATTCTCCCGACGGGCTGTTTCTGACCTCCAGCCAGTGGGGCCTGCAGTCGGAGAGCCTCCTACCCCCCCAGCTCGGTAATTCCCCTCAGTGGGGGAAGACGTGCTTTCTGTCCCAGCGCTCTGTCAGCATGGTGGAGACGAGCAGCGCGCCAGGAGCAAGTCTAGGCTGGTCCGGGACTGAAAAGACTTCCCTAAGTGAGCTGGGCCCCTYGGTTTTCAACACCTCCTCTTCCTCCTCGTCGGTTTCCAGCTCCTCTTCCTCGTCACGCTACAAAACCGAACTGTGTCGGTCTTACACCGAGAACGGCCTGTGCAAGTACGGCGGCAAGTGCCAGTTCGCCCACGGGCCCGAGGAGCTGCGTGACCTGAACCGACACCCCAAGTATAAAACGGAGCCGTGTCGTACGTTCCATACCATCGGCTTCTGCCCGTATGGGATCCGCTGTCACTTTATCCACAACAACGAGGAAGAAAAGAAGCACTCCTTCGCTCGCTCCGCCTCCTCCTCCTCCTCCTCGTTTTCCTCTTCCTTCAACATTCCTCGGCAGCTGCCAGCCTCTACCCGCCCTCATAGACCCCCCCTGGTCAGACAGAGTTTCAGTTTTGCCGGGTTCCCCTCTGTCCCTCAGCACCCGCTCAAGGCTGTGCCAGCTGGTCAAGCTCCTCCCTCCTCCTTCGGACGTGGCCCGCCGGATTCTCCGTCGTCCTGCGCCGACATCACCGACTTCCTCTCCTTCTTGGAGGTGGATTCTGCCTTCGAGGCCTCCCCCGCCCAACACTGCCAGCCCCCCGCGAGCCAGGTCGCTCAGGCCGATCCGCAGTCTCCATTCCTGCCTTCTCCAGACTCCGGATACTCCCCCTGCGGGCTGTCCCCCACCGACTCGCCTCCCCTGCGACAGAGTCCCAACACGGCCGAGGTCCTCTCGGAGCCACTGGGTACCCGCTCGCTGTCCTACACCTCTCTGTCAGACCAGGATCAGGACCAGGACGGAGGCAGCTCTGTCAGCTCACTCAGCGGCTCCGAGTCTTGCGGGGCTAACAGCGAAGCCAGCGCCAAACGTCTGGCAGTGTTCAGCCAGCTATCCGTTCCCGAAGACGGTGCCAGCTGCTCTCTTTAAGCTGCTTTTAAACAATTTCACATGTTTCCATACAGCTAAGCTCGACTAAATGCAGTGCTTACACACCAAACACACACATCCCACCCAGCCCGACTGACCCAAAAGACATTTTTTGCACCCGTGTGGCATTCAAAAGCGAACTTCCCGACAGACTCCAAAACACTTAAGAGATTCCCCCCCTTCATTCGATTGTCGTGGTGAAATTTTAGATTCCACACGCCGCAGTGGTGCTAAAGCTAGAGGACATATCAAGGTATGTTTTACACTGACAAAATAAAAGCATTTTATTCCTTTTCAATCTTCTGATGCGACTAAAATAAGCAAAAAAAAATTGTAAATCACAGCACGACTGGTTGTTGAACGCAACCACGCCGTAGGTTTGTCTTAGGAATAGTTTAACGTTTGTGATGAAGCCAAAGAGGACTTTTTTGTAGCTCAAACTTCTCGATTATGGTGGAATGATCACAACACACAGTGGCCTTATGTGTTCAGGAGTTCCCCCATTATGTGTATCCAGTATTGTTAATAAGCTTGTGAAAGTTTTTTTTTTCTTTCCATCATCATCGTGCAGTCTGAGGTTGTGTTTTGATCACTGGCCTTAAAGCTGAATGTTTTTTTTTTCTTTTCTAAGTATTGTGCCTGTACCGTTATTATTTTTACCAGATCCTGTTACATTGTTGAACTACGATTCTGACACGTTTGAAGAGATGTGAAAAGGGGTGAGAGTCTTTGTTTTGTTGGTGTGGTTTTTTTTTTTTTTCCTCTTGGTGGTGGTGTTTTTAGAATACTATTGAGTCCGCGTGCGTCATCGACGAGCTGTACAGGTAATGTTACAAATTTAAATATTTAAAACACTTTAAAGTTAAAAAAGCGATACAGACGGTGAGCTGTGAGAGTCCTAAATAAGCTCAAAAGATTAAACGAGTTTGAGTCCAAGTTTAAAAGTGCCTCCCATCTTTAACAGTTTTCTTTTTTGGTTATTTTAATATAAATGTTTCTTTCCTCCATCATCCACAAATGCATTATTACATCATCGTTACGTGTTTCGGTTGTGATTCTCACCCCCTTCGCATCTCTCTGTCATTCAGTATTATTCCTCGCTGTTAACGGCTTCGAATTGTTCCAACTGCGTTTCATCCTGAAAACATCCACTCAGGCCATGATGCCGTCTCTGTTGCCTTATGGAAAAACTAGATCCAGCATACTGTAGAGTTAGACTATGTGTGCTTTAGTGTTTTAGGAATGTTTTTTTGGCTGTTTATTTTTTTGTGTGTGTGTGTTTACGGTGTAGTTTCTTAGGAGCGGATGTCAAGATGTTCCTGATCTATTTAAATCAGCCTTTTCATCGACACGTTTGAGGCCTGTTTAGTGATAAAGGTGATAATCTTTAGTAAATTAATTTCTTTAATTTATTTTAACGTATTTATAGAGGACTTCTCAGTTAATGCTTGTATCGAGTTTAATATATTTGGGTTTCTTTCGCTTTTTTGTACTTGAAATAAAGTTTTCATTTTTTTAAGTGGCTTTGTGATTATTCACCCGTTCGTCACGACTGGTTATCAGATTCTTTGCAAGCTGCTGGCGTCGGCGCGTATGTGTGCGTTATCATGCTGCTTCCTATTATGCAACAGGGCTCACGTGCTCTAAGGTGAAGTCTACAGGAAGGAAGGAAGCAAGTACACGAAGGAAACCAGCAAACTGTCATTTCTGTTTTTCATTTTAGTCTGTTTCATCCGGTCTGAGCTGTTCGGTTTAAATATTTGTAAACATTAACGATGACTGAGGAGATCGTAAGATGAGTGTTCTGCGCTTACAAAGCATTTTAGGTTCCACAAAGTTACAAATTATCAGTGATATATTTGCAGTGCTGTAAATGAAGATTGAGGTCATAAGAGCGGTTCACCTTACCAGTAACATTTTGTTTCAGTGGTAACCCCTGAGCTTCCAATTGGATTATGGCTAAGTTTTCACTTTGAGATAAATAAACACTACAATTACTATTTTGACCGAACAGTTTAACCAGTCGCTTTATCAATCCAGGGATTGCATTACCATTCATTCAAGAAATAGTCATAGCCCAAGAGTGAAATATCAATATTTTTGGCAGCATGACCTCTTGGTGGTTAGCGCTGTTCCATCACGTCAAGAAGGTTCTGGATTGGGCCTGCTGTCTTTGTTTTGAGTGGAGTTTGCATACCGTCAGGTTTGTGTGGGTTTTCTCCCACAGTACATAAACCTGACTTTTTAGATTGCTCACAGACCCTGGTTCCTCATGGAAGTAGATCTGAGATCAGAGGCATTTGCTTAGTGAAATAAAGATTAAAGGTGTGTTTTTGGAGCCTTATACTACAGACTGWAGTCAGATCTTTCTTTTTTTATGTGAGGTTTTAAGAACAAGTTGTGTACAATAATATATCTTTCCTATCATAGATGGCTCTTTGAACGACATCAGAAACAACTGGGACTGGATTGATGAGCTAACATCTAGTCGTAGTGGAACCAGGACCAGAGTAAACTGCTGCTGGCTTAAAACTACTCCCTACAAACTTTACTACGACTCGTGCAAACATTATTGTACAAACTTTTACACTGTCAGTTTTGTATGATATTATGTACCAAGAAATCTTTGGGTATTTCAAGAGCAAATAGTGGCAGCTAGCTGTAGCATTTCCTAGGGGACGTAGGATATTTTAATTTCTGTCAAATTAGATGTAATGTCAAATTAGCAGTTGTTACATTTTAATAGTTTTAAGATGGCAGGCCGGACCGAGACTATGGCTGCATTTTGTTTACCTCAAAAGTCAGAAATTCAATTCAATTCAAAAATACTTTATTGATCCGAGAGGGAAATTAGGTAAATGCATTTCAACCTCCGAGTACAAAAATAATGCAGCACAAGAACTCAAATCTACACTATGAAAAATTAATTATCCATTTAGTTTCTGTCAGTTTTGATCAAAATTCAAAATGTATATGAACTGAATTAAATCAGACTTATTTTGAAATATCCAGTTACCAAAGCAAGATGTGTCGCCACAAGTTCATGAAACTGACATTGATGTTGCGTGGCTGCACTGTGTTAAAATATCAGCATATGACATACTTCCATGCGTAGTTGTGTGATATATTCATTCTGAAGCTGAACTAAAGCAATAGGCTAACTCGCTAATGGTGAACATGTGAGTTTGTTAATAAACCRGCAGGCACAACAGTGATAAACTACTTTTGCGAGGGAACGCGAAAGGTATTGCGAGGTAACGCAATACTTTTGCGTGGGAACGCAAAAGAATAAAAATCTCCCATGTCCCCTTGTGGGCTCTGTAGTAACAGTCTGTTTTGCAGGTATTGTGGTATAGTTTGATGTGGTAGTCGCTGAGACACATCCTCATACAGTGAGAGCTAACATGTCTCACAATTTTGCACCAGTTGGAAAATGACACTAAGCACCAAGTTTGACCAAACTGGCTATGATGTTTTCCTCAGATCATGTGGGATAGGCCTCAATTCAAATGAAGTTGGCTGGAGGTCGAGCATTCATCACAATGAACACTAAAGCTACCAGCCCTTTGTTGTGGTTGTAAAAGTGTGCATGTAGTTGTACATGTCGACGAGACAAGTTTGCAAATGCTAGCTATAGCGTGGGTAGTCCCACTTGTCAGTGATTTTGGTCGTACGTGCGTGTGTGTGTGTGTGTGTGTGTGTGTTTGATGTACTAAGATCTGATGTAAAGATGTGAAGGTTTGTAGTTACATCCCTTTCCTCTCTGCCTTCTTCCTCTGCATACTTTCTTTTTATCTGTGTGCTACTTTAAGCTGCTGTGATGTTAGTGACCAAAACATTGTTGTAGTTGACGCACAAGTTTCACTGCTAGGTTTAAATCCCACAAACGTACTTTGTGCAAGTCTTCCCTATTTTCCTTTTGTTGAGAAAACCTGTATTGTGACTGGCCCTCCAGGAGCCTCCCTTTAAAAAAAAAACCTACTAGTGCTATTATCTTGTCTCCATAACACAAGATGAACTGACCTTCCAAGGGTGATTAGTGGCAGTGAAGGGGTTAAAGCTGTGCATGTGTGTGCGTGTGTGCGCGCGGCATTGTTTCCTATAGACATTCTCCCACACTCTTGCYCTGTGGGACATAGGAATAGCAGGCAGATGGCTGTATTCAGGTCCACCACAGGTCAACATATGGACCTTAGAGACTAAAGTTTGTGTTTCTGTGTGTGCGACTGAGCATCCTGCCACGCATGAGCCATAAGGGTTGAATAAATCAGCAAGAAGTTCAAAAAAGGTGGGTGAAGCTAAAAAAAAGCAATGTGAAAAAAAAGTTTCAGGATAGAAGAAAAACCAAGATTATGCAAATCAAATACAGTGCAATTTGCATCCAATTCTTTGATAAAATTAGAATTAAATAGAGAATGTAGCCTCAACTCAGAATAATAATGTTTCATAAAACTGGCCTAGCCTGACTAACTGCTAAAGGTTAAAATATACCTGGATTTGGATAGCTCGTGTTACAGCTAGCGCTTGCAAAAACCATGGAATTGCATCTAAATAAAAATGTAATGTGACGTTTACGGGAATCTAAAGGTTTTTAACTCATGGGCCACAAGAAAACATTTAAGATTTTATAGTTTTAAGACAGCAGAAAGTCCTTGGTTAGTCGATCCAGTCAAAACTAAACTTTATTTCCCCGAAGCTTAGGTCATTCAAACAACAATTTACAGCAGGTAAGATGTTAATTGTTCATAAACGTCCTGCAAAATCATACATTTTAAAGATTTGAACTATCCCTTTATCTGCTGAAGTTCTAGCTTTAAATATTTTTATTGAGTATTTATGATTATACAGATGCTGTTTAAATAATAATTTAGTACTTAATTGTTGCATCACATCCGTTTTCTTCCTTGCGCTTTCAAAACMTCCTTTCTTCATGGCAGGCCTAAAAGGAACAACCAGCTGTTTATTTTATTTTATTTTATTTTTTGTTCTCTATTCAGGATGAAAACTTGAACTCTTCTCACTAAGATCCCAGCTGAGATTTGAAAYGTAAATACCGTGTTTCTATGCAGCAGTAAAGCACCGCAGCTCATCCACATCGTGAGTTTTAGTCCAAGTTGTCACCGATGATTTGGTTAACTAAAGCTATAAAGAACATTATTTTCTGTTCGTTTCTGTGGAAACCTTTCTAAAACCAGCACTTTTATTCCCCTGTGAGTACTCTTCTTCCCTCCTCTATTCATGTTCCACTCTGTGGATCTATTTGGTGACATTGTGATACAAGGGAGGGGAGCAGAGATGTAGAAAAGGAAGAAAAAAAAGGGGGGGACCCCTTCAGAACTGTAACCATTGTCCCATGGTTTCACTGGAAGAAACAGTGGAGGTGAAAGACCCCCAAACCCCCCTTCCAAGCACCCAACTCACAATCACACTTTCATCATTTTTTCACTTTACCTTCACTGATTCACTCCGACCCTTCTTCCTCTCCCAACTCCTAACAGAACTCCCCCCTTTTCTTCCCTTTCATCTTCCAGCCTCATATCGAAGGCTCTCCGGTATCTCCTTTTAATTTTCGTCTTGCCCGCTCTCCTAATCTCCTCCTCCGCCAACTTTCTGCAATTCTACCCCTTCCCACTCTTTCTCTAATCCCTCCTGATTCCACCCCACCACCAACTTCTCTCAAGAGAGGATTTGGGTTAAGTGTTTAATGGGTTGCAACAAATAGGACAAGGGTGGGTTTTAGGAAGGTGCAGCACAGTTTTTTCAGATGCCCAACTCAATTTCCCTGTCTGATCCCTTCTCTCGCTCAGCCTTTCTAAGGTTGCACTAAAGTTTCCACAAGTCTGGCTACAATAGGCAGACTGCCTGTCCCTCAAACCTTCATACATACTTCATACTGAGCTTCAAAAGCCAAAGACAAATCAGGAATTTTGATCAACACTGACAGAAACTAAATGGGTTATTCATTTTTATAGTGTAGATTTGAGCGGTGTTGTTCTTGTGCTGCTTTATTTTTGTACTCAGAGGTTGAAATGCATTTCTGACTTTTGAGGTAAACAAAATGCAGCCATAGTCTCGGTCCGGCCTGCCATCTTAAAGCTAATGAAATGGAACAACAATATTAAAATCTCCCACCTGGAAGTGCCCCAGGCTCCACAGGAAATGCTACAGCTAGCTGCCACTATTTGCTCTTAAAATACCCAAAGATTTCTTGGTACATAATATCATACAAAACTGACAGTGTAAAAGTTTGTACAATAATGTTTGCACGAGTCACAGTAAAGTTTGTAGGGAGTGGTTTTAAGCCAGCTGGTCCTGGTTCCACTACGACTAGATGTTAGCTCATCAATCCAGTCCCAGTTGTTTCTGATGTCGTTCAAAGAGCCATCTATGATAGGAAACATATTATTGTACACAACTTGTTCTTAAAACCTCACATAAAAAAATAAAGATCTGACTTCAGTCTGTAGTTTATGGCTCCAAAAACACAATTTATTGTTGTCCTGTATTCAGTCCACAGTAACTTTTACATCAAAATTTTCTGTCAGTTTGAGAAAAACCCATACATAAGCTCTATGAGTGAAACACACAATAAGAAACGTTGATAGCAAGTGCCACCCACTCTGGCTCCTCCCCCTTTTCACATCATGTGCTATGAACATGGCTCTGCACAAAAACAACAGCCTGACCCAAGAGTTTCTAACTATTTTTATTGTGAACAGCAGACATAAAAACAGAATGAACATTGTTTCCCACAGGAATATTGTAGGAGAACAAAATGTTATAGAAAATCCATAAATAGTTTTTATTGGTTTTGGGTGACTGGGTTGTAATACTAAATGTAAAAACGTAACTTTTTAACGTCAAAATATTAATGAGGTCATTTAAAAAATGATGACGAACTCCAGTCATAAACTCTCCATTTTGATTCGAGAACAAAAAAATGAGTAAGACATATAGAAACATTGTAAATAAACAAAAAAGGTGTATATGTACATATCTGCTATCAGAGATCAACTGTACCAAAAAAAAACAAATGAAACTGAGCTGACGAACACTTTGATTTGACTGTTAAAGAATATTAAAAAATGGATAACCATACAAAAGACTTGCTTTTTAATGGCACTCCACAGCCAGGCTTCTTAAATTTTCTCCAAGAGGCAAAGGAAGTATGTGAAAAAAAGCTTGTAAATATTAATTCAACAACAAAAATATTCTTCAAAAAAATGACAATTTCTGATCTATGTCTCCCTCTGGTGGTTTGAAGAGAAAACAGCTTTTACAAAGAAAATTCTCTCATCAGTTTTGTATTTTGTGGGGTGGAATGTTACATTACATTACACAAAAAAAATGTTTAGAGTGCAAAAATAAATACCTAAGCAACACAAACACCCAATCTGAATAAGTGGGTGATTAATAGGCTTCTTAAAGAAATYACACACTCACTGAATCGGGTATGTTGGAGCAGAGATACAGTATAAGTAAATCATGGAGGGTAGCGGTCCCTAAGAACCAGGATTAGAAACTTCTGACCTATCCAATAAATAATTATAAAATTAAGCAAAAACATTGAGCTCAATCAAAGCCAGCGTAAAACTGATCACTTCATTAACCACACAAAGCAAAATAAACTCTTCATCGCAATCAAAATAAAAAATAAAATAAAAAAGATTTTCCTGCACCAACAAACTACAAGTAAACTTTATCCCACCAGTCAGGGGCAATCTGAGCAGTCCTGTTGTGATCGTTTATCCCCTCTGGAGCCACGATGCTCGGAGGACAAGCTGTTCATTTGGCAAAAGGAAAAGGTATCGAGATATCGATCATGTCAGCTTCTGGATGACCACCTGAAACTTACCTGTCAAAAAGAAATAGATACAAAAGATGATTATTTTTGAGTCTGAATGTTTGCTCAAATAACCCAATCTCACAGGCATGTGTAGGCCTTACAAAGCTAGTTTTAAAAATAACTGTGATCCACACAACCGCTCAGCCTTTACAGATAAAAGTAGCTTAGCAGCYGTTTGTAGTCAATGAACCTCTTATCTCGCTTCAGACTTGCTTAAAAGAAAAGGATCGATATTCCAATGGCACTTACAGGACGGCATGACGGAGACCTCAGCTGTCACCACACTCTCCAGACCGAGGTTAGACAGAGCCCCTCGCACCACACCACATGAAAAAGCAAGATACTGTGAACGAAAACACAGAGACAACCAATCAAGACCAGTCACGTGGCATTCAATTCTGTTTTTTTTTAGGTTGTAAAATCTTTGGATGCATCTTTAATTGTCCACATAATAGCAGATCAATCCCTGCTCATATGTGGAAGGATATTTGATACCTTGGCAGCCTGATCCAGATACTGTTTTCCATTAGAGAGCTGAGTCAGGAGAGAAAACTTGTTATCCTGAAGGACATAAGTACCCTGTGGAGCAAAAAGAACGCATAAATCCAAATAGTAGTAAAAAAAAATTGTAAACAAGAACACATGACACTGCTTATCTTAAGCATTTAACAAAGGTCTGCTAATTCCTTGTGACCTCCACGACTACTCTTGTGGCTCAATGAATGGGTATGTTTTTTGTTTGTTTGTTTGTTTTTTTAAGAAATGTATCATAAATCCCAGAAGGGGAAGAATTTATTTATTTTTGTTTGTTTGTTTGTTTGTCTTTAGTAGTTAGATTCAAATATGCAAGTCCCAAATTGAAATAGAAACAATTTCCAAAAATAAAAAATAAAACAAAAATTAAAGAAACTGTGGACTTGCCTTCAGTTATGTATAAAACTAAACTATGATTAACTGTTACCAAAGAAAGGCATTCTCTGACTAGGCTTTCTTTTTATTTTTACAAAGATGTTGATGCAAAGGTTGATGTTAGTGTTGAATATGCACTCAAACTGCCTATTTTGCCAGTGCAACAATGTGTCCTTACACCATCTAATGCTTTCAGTTTGTGGTTTCCAGGAAATACCTTTTAAAGGAATCCCCAATTAGTTGTAACATTAGACTTTATTTGATAAACATTTATTTTAACTGTAAAATAAAGACTATAAAAATACTGTAGGCTGTTTAGTTTTGTAAATTTTTTTTAAATATATTTTAACACGGATGGAGCCATTTTATTTACACGTAAGCATTCTGGGTAAATGATGACGTGGATAGGTCCTCAGTGCGAGGCTGCTAGCGAGCTATATCCACCCTAAAGGTTAATCTTGGACAATATCTGACGATCGACTCTTTTAAATGAAACCAGAGAGCGTTGACAGAGAGGAGAAGGTAGAAATGACTCAGCCTGTAACTGAAAATATAGATGGAGGACAACAGAGCTGCTTCATGGAAGAAGAACCTCAGCTTAGCCTGTTAGCCTTCGCGCTAGCGCCAACACTATATTGCCTTATATGTATTAGCTCAGCTCTAGCGCAACAAACAAGCTAAACTGAGGTCCTCCATCCATATTTTCAGTTACAGGCTGAGTCATTTTTGTGCTCCCCTCTCTGTCATGTGGATGGAGGACCTCAGTGATGAGAGGAGAATGTGTAGCACTGAGCTAATACATATATATGGTGATAGCGTCGGGGCTAATGCTAAAGCTAACAGGCTAAGCTGAGGTTCTTCTTCCATGAAGCAGCTCTGTTGTCCTCCATCCATATTTTCAGTTCCAGGCTGAGTCATTTCTACCTTCTCCTCTCTGTCAACGCTCTCTGGTTTCATTTAAAAGAGTCGATCGTCAGATATTGTCCAAGATTAACCCTCAGGGTGGATATAGCTCRCTCACACCGAGAACCTATCCACGTCATCATTTACCCAGAATGCTTTGCATGTAAATAAAATGGCTCCGTCCGTGTTAAAATATATTTTTAAACTTTTAGTTTAAAAATGATAAAAACTAAACACCCTACAGTATTTTTACAGTCTTTATTTTACAGTTAAAATATATGTTTATCAAATAAAGTCTAATGTTACAACTGATCATGGATCCCTTTAAAACAAAAAACTAACTTCCTATCAAAGTGAGTTGATATGCAAAGTAAATCAGTGTGAAATCCTGGGTAAAGCTGTACATGAATACACACAGACAGTGCCACCGTACTGTTTAGTAAACTCTGGGAATCGTTACTTGACAAATGGACTAAACTATAATAGGTCCTTTATGAATCCTTTACAGGAAATTGTTATAGCAGCCTTTGTATTTTACACAAGACAAATAATAAAACATTAAACAAGTAGGACGTCTTCCAGTATCTTTAATAAGAAGCCCATATTGAAAAACCTCACTTGATTTTATTTACCTGATGGTTTGTTCGGAGGTTGTCCACTTGCCTCCTGAACACCTTCGTCCAGAAGTCTTTGCAGACAAACTTCATTATGTCCAACTCATCTTTGAAGCTGGGGGAGTCCCGGGTCAGTCTGGAGAATAATCAACCCAGACACTTTATTGAAGAAGAAATGTTACATATGTATTTACTACCTTTACAGCATTGTGTGTTATTTACCTCTCAATAAGTCCTTGTCCAACCCTAAAGCCCATGATTTCCAAAACAGAAATACACACAGCTCTATCCTGCACAAAAAACATGCAAACAGTGAACACAAACTTTAATGATTTTTTTTTAATAAACAAGTGCCCTTAGTGTAGGGATAATGTAAAAGCTGATTCTACATCTTAATACACGATTATATTAGGTGTTTTACTAACACTAGATTAACTAGTATTTAACAAATGATTGGAGTTGACATCGGATGTGAGACAGAGTGGTTTAAAGCTAACATCTTTTAGCTCAACATCCTGAGCTAACCCACCTTGTTGTCCATTTCTCCTTTGCTGGACTGTTGTTCCGTGAAAACATGAGACACCATCTCCATATGGAGAAATTCAAACAGAGACTCGTCTGCCATTCTGCAAAACACTACAAATGTGAAACAAAGCTCAGTCACTACGCCAAAAACCTCTGTCTCTTTAGCCTCCTTAGCTAGCTAATCCGTTTTGCTTTCCAACAAAACTATTAAAGCCGTATTAATTTATAATATTGTCATCAGTGTAAATAAACTCAATGCATATGTTCACGTTGTCGATCTTACATTCATAGATTCATTCCACTAGATTAGATACTACAATCATCTTACCTAAATAACCGTACGCTACCCACTCCTGCTATATGAATTGCCCTCGATATTTATCTCAGGACATCCCGAAAAATGCACTAGGCGGAGTTAAGAGGAGTTGTCGAAATAATTGACAGTAAATGAGCACATTAAGCAAAGKAAAAAGTCCGTGATGTAATGCTTGTTTTTCTATGAGGGACTACAACACAACACTGAGAAAACAACCCTCAATTAAAAGTGAAACTACGGTGACACCGTTGTATTAAAAACCGGTATACGCCGACCAAATGATACAAACAAATCCTACCAGTGAGCCAATCAAGATACGAAAAGTTGTCACGTGATACATAAGCTCCGATTGGATTGGTTCAGGAAGTACAAGACACTTCCTTGCTCATGTGATTTTTGTTTTTGTCACGAAAGATTTTAGACTTTTCGATGTTATTTTAGCGAATTGAAGCTTTTACAGCATTTAAAAGTCACGTTTTATCCACGAGAGTACGGCTTTTACTAGCTGGATAAAACTATAATGAAAGCAAAGTGTTTTTTTTTTGCCGTTCTTTAGCTCCAGTTGACCTGACAGTGCAGTCGTCCTGTGACTGATGAAGAGCTTATAATGTCCAGCAGATACTCGATCGTGGTGCAGGGCGAGGCATCGGAAACAGACTCCGATGACGAAGTCTACATCACCTCACTGTCTTCTCAGCAAACTGCCTCAACAGTCGGAACTAAGGTGCTCTTTTGGCTTAGTTGACATAATGTGTTTCTAAACGCTGTAAAAACTGTATTATGTTGCTGTTAATATTTCAGGTTCCAGGGGAGGCCTCTGAAACTGACAGTGAGGAGGATCCAGAGCAGACAGGCAGATCCTCAGCAGGAAGTCAGGACAGTGCTGCCAAGATACTCAGAAGAGACCTGCCTCCTCTCATTGTGGTCAGGGACCACCCTGATCTTCAGTCCATAGTGGAAGACAGGCCGAGCCCTGCACACAAACCACATGGTGAGGAGTTTGCATGAAATGGAAAAGGGTTATGATCCCATAATTGCCAGAACATGAAGCCATCTAGAAGATGTCAACCTAGTATGTTCACAGAAGAAAAACAATTAGGGTTTTACAGTTCACAATAAATATTGCTAACAGGCACGTGCACATAGATGTAACCCTGAACAGTAGGGATTATATAAACATACCTAAATATTCAATGTCATGTAAACTTTACTGTCATTACCAAAGGTTCACTTTCTGTGATTTTCTCACAGATTTTCAGTCACTTTCTCCTTCTCTCAGTCCCATGTGTACCTGAGTGTACACATGCATAAAACCAGCTCCATTCACTGATTCAAACTTAGGACTGATAGGTGATTGACCTAGAGTAAAAAATAAAAAAACTTCCATCATTACATTAATACATCTGAAATATGAAAAACCAATGAAATGAAGTATTTCAGTTTCTTTCTGGGTGTGTTTGCAGGTGAAACCCTTTTACAACAGAAGCTGCAGGAGTCAAACAGCCAGCTGTATTCTGATGTGGGACAAATGCTAAAGCAGGTTTACGGCAGCGCCAGCAAAGAGGTACGTTCTGTTTTACTTTCATTTTTCTTTTAAATCAGGAAGCACAGTAGTTTTAAAAATACAAAGTGTAAATAGAGATGTAGGTAGGTGAGAGTACAAAACTGTAGATAGAAGTGATGTTTTTTAAAAGCCCAAATGCACAAAACAAAGCATCTTTTTTTATTCTTGCACAATTCTTTATATTATTATTTTTATTATTAGCTGTAGTATCATTGCTAGTCATTGTTAATTTCATTTTTGTGCACTGTCTATAGTTTGTAAAGTAACTAGCATGTGAACCTCTGTACTGATGCTGCTGCTGACACCTGAATTTCCCCTCGGAGAGACAATAAAGATTATTTCTATTCTATTCTAAATGAGAATTAAAATTAAGCTAAACATGACCAAAGTCTGACCAGCTAAGATTCAGAAACAACACAGTGAGAAATGTCTCCTTTTTATCATAAATATTTAAAACAATAAAGTTAATGATTTACTTGTTTAGAGCTGGGCGATATGATCAAAATTTTATATCACGGTATTTTCAACATTTTCACCGGTTTCACTGTATTTGACGGTATTTTTCTTTTCATCACAGCTCAGCTGATAATAAAATATACAAACACTGCTTATTAACTTTTTCCTTTTACTGTACCTCTGTCTGTGTCTCTGTTTCCCTCCTCTGTGTCTGTTCTTCTCTGACTGGTGGTTGGAGACAGTAGTCATGCTTTTGGTCCAGTCGTGAAGGAGGAGGGTTAAGAAAAGATTATGATCGGGTTTATTGTTTTATGTTATTTATTAAAGCTTATCAGCACGACTCACCTTGCACACCAGTCAATTCCAACTCCACTACGAACTACTTCCTGCAGGCTTTTCACAATAGAACCACGTTAAGTCTCCATCAGCATAACGTCTCCATATTAACTAACCGCGTTAAATCTGTGTACGTCACTGAGGAGGTGTTTACTACATTCAGTGACGGTGAAAACTGGATGTTTTTTTTAAACATCAGTCAATATAAGCAGCAGAATCACCACCCGCTGCTGCAGCTAGCTGCTCCAAACATTAGCATGCTAACGCTCATAGCGGTGCAGCAAGGAAAAATGTCCCCCGGGAAACAACAGTTCACTGGCGGCCGCGACGAAACGTTCCGCTATTTAAACCAGAATGTCTGGTATTCAAAAAATTCATATCATAACAAAAATGAAAACCGGTATTCGGTACAAAATGGTATACCGCCCAGCACCATACTTGTTTACCTTTTGTGACTTTTTTCATTCGTTTTTTTTTTCAAGGTGCACAGTGTAACGTCTCAGCTGAATGCATCCCAGAGCGCCATTATCAATGCGTCCCACAGCATCAGATTAATCCTGGATGACCTGAAGGCCGTGTCCGAGAAGATCGACATCATCACCAGCTGTCAAATACTTCCTGAGATTAACATCGCCGATCCCAGTCGCGTGACGCCTCCTGCGCCTTAAAAACACTTTGGTGTTGGGATGTTTTACTGGCAGCACGGGTATATCATCAAAAAATTCAAAAATTAAAGGAGGTTAAAATTGTGAGCTAGCTTTGCTTTTTGGAGTCACAAATCACCTGCATGCATAAAACAAAAACTCTTAACAGTTACTGATGTATATGTTTACTAATAACTGTGCATCTTGTTGGAGGTTTAGGAGCTATTTATAAAAAAAAAGTAAAATTGCGTATGCTGTCACATTTTTTTCAAATAGTCTTGCAATTTTCTGTAAATATGAATGTTTCTCAATAAATTTTTAAAAACACGTTTTCTTGTTATTTTTAATTTCCACAGTTTTTAAAAATCATCACATACTGTATTCCTAGACTGAATGCTGCCCAGACTATTAGTTTTGTTTGAACAATTTTTGCAAAAGGTATTTGAGGTGAAGTATCTCCAACAGCATAACTTTATTTGTTGAGATTTAGTAGCTGAGACAAGCCATAATTTTTTTTAAATGAAAGTGCAATTAAAAAGTGGGGGTGATGAAGTAATACATTAAATTTATTGGTTACAAATACAAATGTATTTTCACAAGTAATTAAACAAAAGGGGAGTAAACACCCTTGGAAGGATCCAAACAGTATGACAGAAAATGTCTGCGAAGAGTCCTGACAAACTTCAGACATAAATAACTTCAAAGGTTGATTCAAAAGGAGATCATTGCAGGGATTTGACTTGTTTCTCTGCTCCAACACTACTGATTCATTGAAACACCTCTTCTAGTTATGCATTGCATTCAAACCAGGTGTGTTGGAGGAGAGGAACCTCTGCAGGACAGCGGACTGGACTCCCTGGGATACAACAAGCGACGTGTCTTCGTGCACACATCACACTGGGGTGTAGATGTACACCAGCACCACCACCAGCAGGTTGAGAACGGTGCCTACGATACCCAGAATCCCCAGCAAATGATCGGGGTCAACTTTGCATCTCGGACCTTTGAGATGAACAGTTTGAGGATCAGGTGCCTGGGGGGAGAGAAAAAAAACATGGAAGGTGTGTTGATTTCATTTAAAACACCTTAGACAAAAATGATCCACACGATGGTGCAGTTGTTCCATATTCTTCAAGTAAAACTTGCTCTCCCCATTACTTCACTTTGATTGTTTCATTTATTTGTAATTACAAGTAAACTTTAAACTGCCTTGTCTGAAAACATTTTTATTATTTTTGTTCCATTGTTTTAACCAATTTCAATCAACCAATAAGTCAGATTGTGGGAGCATCTTGGGAAAAACTGCGTTTTTTTTCCAAAAGGGGGAAAAATTCAACCAAAACAAATAAAAATAGTACTTTGAAATAAGAAACAGTGGTGATTGTAATGTGAAGAAGAGACTTAAGAACTGAAGAGGTGAGAAAAAACATAATAATAATAATGGTAACGACAATAACAATAATCAAGAAACATTTTCTAAAACTGTCAAAGAACTGTTAAAACAGTAAAAAATAATGCAAAAAAAATTCAAACAAAGTAATATTCTTAATTTTTCAGAATACATATTATGTAGCAGCTTGTAGCTGTTCTGTTGTTGAAAAATATACCTTAATTTCTTATTTTATTGGGTTTTATATGCACATTTCTCAGGACTGGTGTCATGTTAGAAACATATTTTACATCTGGATCGTAAAATTCTTCCCTTGAAAAGCTCTGATTTTAATAAATAGTCATTCTGTTAGACTGTTACTTTCATTGTTAACACTTTAACTCAAATCTACAACAGTAATTTCATTCAGATGTTGTTTAATATGTGAAAAAAATCACTTTTTTACATGACAGAGATAATTTGATGATTTTACACAATCATTTGCAGTTATTAGCATTTACTCTCTGCTTCACAAACGTATCTGTATAAAATTATTAACCTTTAACTTTTAATTATTTACTTTTTCTTTTAGTCACAAGCATGTTTATCATTCTGGTCCGTTCTAATCTGTCATTAATATAATCTCAACATTTATATTGTTTCTCCATGACCGAATGGGAAACAGGCTGTACACACTATCGTTTATAAAGTTTTCCATAAAAACTTTATGAATAAAGAATCTCTCCTATGAAAAAGTAAAAACATAAAACTTTATCCACTTTACCTCTCTGGTGCTCCTCGATCTTTTGTCATGTCCCGACACCACTGCTCTCTCCATCTGTCAGCCTCCAAACTCAGGAGGAGAAACAGCTTCAATCAGCCTCAGTTTCCAGAGTCCAGGCTGGAAGTGTCTCAGAGCCGATGACTGGCGAGACTGCGTGCACCACTGGTAACTCTTAGACTTAAAGTCTTCTACGTGTTCTCGTCTCCTGAGGCTACAGAGGCTCACAGGTCTGTAATAAATGAGTGGATAAAAGGGAGGATGCTGGTTTGTTTTATTGTGCATCAAACTGCAAAGAGAGTCACAGAAGGCCAAGAAGCTGCTCAGCTGTCCTGCCACAGTTTCTGTGTCAGGTCATGTGGAGCTGGCTCATTCACGCCTGTGTGTGTGTGTGTGTGTGTGTGTGTGTGGGGGGGGGGGGGTCACCAGGGAATAAAAAAGCCTCCAGTGTCACAACCACCTTTCTATGTGTGTGTGTGTGTGTGTGTGTGTGCAGAGAAACTTAAATTGAATTCAAACATTTTTACCCATGTTCAAGAAAAACTCATCTTAAGGATTTAAAGGAATAGTGCGTAATTTTTGAATTTATGCCTTGTCAAGTAGTTTTCAGTAGTTTGTACCTTTTCAGCAGTGGCATAAGTCATAGAGAAAGGAGTCTAGAACAAAAACGATGAAGCCATCTGCGTGTAACCTGTTCACCTGTTGAAAGTGGAGTGAAGAGCTACAGAGAAACAGACAAACAGTCTGTTGTTATGAATTTAATGAGAAAATAAAGCTGTCTTCATTAGAAGAACAATGTTTACAATGTTGTGTGTGTGAGTGTGTGCGGACTGTATTTCCTGTGCTGTGGGACAGTTAGGATTGCATTGCCAAATTCAATAGAATGGGAGAGCAGGCAAGTTTTTTTATTTTTATTTTTTTGGCGTACACACCTACTTGTGGGGACCTAATGTTACTTATTGGGGACCTGACTGGTAATTATGGGGACCTGAGTCTAGTCCCCATGAGGGAAAACGCCATTGGTGGGTCGGGGGGTTAAGTTTAGGACTTAGGTGTGGATTGAGTTTAGGTTAGTTTTTTTGTTTTTTATTTTTTCAAACTTTATTCCTTTCTTGAAAAAATATTTTTTATATAAAAAAAGAAAGAAAATACAATGAAATGAAAGGCAGCAGAGAGAATAAAAAAATCTTATAACATCTGCCCCTTTTTCTCAAGTATAAATTCAAACAATTGCAATTTTCAGTTAACAAAACAAAACAAAAATCTTCCTAGAACAACAATTTATATGAATGCACATTATACTATTTCATATTTTTTCATCAAGCCTACCGTAATCATTCTCTTAAACATGTACAGTGATTTGGCACTTTTAACATCAATTTCCAGGTCATTCCACAATCTCACTCCTTGGACTGAGGTGCACCTTTCTTTCTTTTGTCTTTTTTAATACAGAAGAAAATGCAGAGAATAAGAAAAAGAAGAAAAAGGAGAAATGTAGTGGGAAAGATTGAAAAAGAGAATAGAAGATATGTGAGATATACACCAAGAAATCACAGACACACACAAAGACAGTACACTCAATATCTGTCTGCATACCTGCAAAGATGGAGAAGACAAAATACGCAATCAAAATACATGTATATAATAATAA